ATCAATCCTCCTCCTCCTCCTCCTCCTCCTCCTCCTCCTCCTCCTCCTCCTCCTCCTCCTCCTCCTCCTCACCATCATCATCATCATCATCATCATCATCACCACCACCACCACCACCACACCATCATCATCAGCAGCAGCAGCAGCAGCAGCATCGTCATCATCATCATCATCATATCATCATCATCATCATCATCATCATCAGCAGCATCAGCATCAGCATCATCATCATCAGCATCAGCATCATCATCATCATCATCATCATCATCATCATCATCATCATCATCATCATCATCATCATCATCATCATCATCATCATCATCATCATCATCATCATCATCATCATCGTCGTCAACGTCATCATCATCAGCATAATCATCATCAACAGCATCATCATTATCCTCCTCCAAACCTCCTCATCATCATCATCAGCAGCATCACCACCATCATCATCATCGTCACCGTCATCATCAGCATCGTCGTCATCATGATCACCAATCATCAGACATCAACCATCAACCGTGATCATCATCATCATCATCATCATCATCATCATCTCCATCATCGTCATCAATCAAAAATCACCAACCCTCAACCATCAATCACCGTAATCATAAATACAATCATCATCATCATCATCATCATCATCATCATCATCATCATCATCATCATCAACATCAACATCATCATCATCATCATCACCATCATCATCATCATCATCATCAGCATCATCATCATCATCATCATCAGCATCAGCATCATCATCATCATCATCATCATCATCATCATCATCATCATCATCATCATCATCATCGCCATCGTCATCGTCATCGTCATCATCATCAGCAGCATCGCCATCGCCATCGCCATCGTCATGGCCACCACCACGACACCCATGACAACAATACCATCAGCAGTATCCTCACCAACATAACCAGCATCACCATCGCCTTTGCCATCATGCTCATCATCACCATCGTCATCACCACCACCACCATCAAACATCAATCATCCATCATCCATCATCAATCATAATCAGCATCATCACCATCATAATCATCATCATTATTATTAATAATATTATTATTATCATGATCATGATCATGATCATCATCATCATCATCATCATCATCATCATCATCATCATCATCATCATCATCATCATCATCATCATCATCATCATCATCAGAGAGAGCGTGTTCCACCGCCGCTTTCCTGTGGGAAATTCCCCCGCTCTTCCTCCGGCACCCGGGGTCCCCCCCCCCTCTTCAAAGATCCCCCCCCTGCTGGAACGCCCCCCCCCTTCCCCCCGGAAAACCGGGGGGGGAGTCCCCACCCACCCCCGGAAAATCGGGGGGGGGTCACTACCGGTTCGAACCCCCCCCCTCCGGAAAACCAAAGGGGGTCACTACTGGTTCGACCCCCCCCCCCCTCCCACCACTACCACCACCACTACCGTCCCCACCACTGTCCCAGTGTCCCCACACCACTGTCCTGCTGTCCCCTCACCACTGTCCCCACCACCACCGTCCCCACCACTGTCCGCACCACTGTGCCACTGTCCCCACAGCACTGTCCCCTCCACCACCGTCCCCACCACTGTCCCACAGTCCGCACCACTGTCCCACTGTCCCGAGGTGCGGGAATCGTTTGCCGGCAACGAGGGGGGGGGGGGGGGGATACGAACCCGTAGTGACCTCCCCCGGTTTTCGAGGGGGGTGGGGGACGGGTTGGGAACCCCCAGCGACCCCCCCGGGTTTTCCGCCAGCAGCGGTAGAACACGCTCTTGCCGTCATCATCATCATCATCATCATCATCATCATCATCATCATCATCATCATCAGCATCAGCATCAGCATCAGCATCATCATCATCATCATCATCATGTTCATCATCATCATTCATCATCACCACCACCACCATCATCATCAGCAGCATCATCAGAATCATCACCATCACCATCACCATCACCATCATCATCATCATCATCATCATCAGCAGCAGCAGCAGCAGCAGCAGCAGCAGCAGCAGCAGCATCATTAGCATGGTCGCCGTCGCCGTTACTAGCAGATTCATATAATACAAATACGCCACCGAGTCTCTGGGTACGGAGTGGGCGTGTCCTCAGGTCTTTTCTCTAATCCTCTAAGCCTCAATCCTCACTCCTGCGGAACCTGTAAGGGGCCGCGTGCCCCCTGGGGCTTCCACCGTGCCCCCTGGGATCCGGGAAGTGTCGTCGCATGAACTTGTTCGGGTCCAAGAGGGCCCCAAGACGGGCCAAGAGGGCCGCCGAACGATCGGTCCAAGACGCCCAAGATGACTCCCAGACGGCCCAAGAGGCCTCCAAGGCGCTCCAGGAGGCCTCCAAAAGAACGGCCTCTCAAGAGGGCCCCAAGAGGCAAAAATCATTAATTGTCCGTTGGTATTTGAAGGATTTTGGCGTTCTCGCCTTTTCGGCTTTCCGACGCTCCCAGGCGGCCCAAGAGGCCCCCAAGACCACCCCGAAACAGCCAAAGAGGCCTCCTCGAGGGCCCCAAGACTGCCCAAGAACGCCCAAAGACGGCCCAAGAGGCGCCCAAAAGGCGCCCAAAAGACACCCAAGAGGGCCACAAGACGGCCCCAAAAGGAGCCCAGGAGAAGGAACAAGAATGAGGCCCAAAGAGGCGCCCAGGAGGCCCCAAGAGGCCCCCAAGAGGCCAGAAGAGGCCCCAAGAGGCCAAAAGAAGCCCCAAGTGGCCCAAAAAGGCTCTTCCCACGAGACCCCAACGAAATCCAATAGGCTTCATACCCACAACCCAGGCACGGTGGCGGTGTGGGTCGAAGGCCAGTTGATTCATCGTCACCATCGTGGAAAATGGAGCTTCGGAAGAGCGGGCTGGGGCTGGGGGAGAGAAGCGGGCCAGAGGACGAGAGGACGAGGGGAGCGGAACGGTGGAACGAGCATCAACCAACCGTTGCAGGTGGTCAAGAGATTACAGCCCGCCACCGCGCCAAAGGCTGCGGCCTGTGCGCATGGCGCCCCCTCGCGTGTTTCTGGCGGCCTCGCCTCTCTTAAAACACACATGATAAGACATTACAGGGAAAACGTCCTCAGTGACTAAGCAAGAAGGCATTGCTTTGCATTGCATTACTTGGATTTGCTCGGTATTACCTTGCTTTGCTTTGAATTGTCTGCCGGTGTTTGGCGGTACTTTGCTTAGCGTTGCTGTACTTGGAATTACTTTGCATGGAATTGCTTGGCATTGCTTGGATTCAGCTTTGCCTTCGGAATTATGATTTGTTTTTGAAGAACTAGCGGGTGCGGGGCGCAGTCGTTGCCAAGTTCCCCAGGAATCCTCGGCCTCGTTTCCTTACAAAGGTGGTCCCCAGGGATCCTTGGCCTTGCTTGCTGACATGGCATTGCTCTGGTTCCCTTGGTTCCCTTGGCTATTTGATCTTGCTTCCTTGGCTCCGACACAAGAGCAGGGAGCCACGGGAACCCGGGCAACGCCTTGCAAGGCAACAGAGCCAAGAAAATGAACCCAGCGCGACCCGAATTAGGGGAAAGCCTATTGCATGGGCGCATCGCTGGGCACATCGCTTGGCATGGCTTGGCATTGTTTGGCATTGCTTGGCAGTGCTTGGAATTGCGTGGCATAGCTTGGCATGGCTTGGCATTGCTTGGCATTGCTTGTCAGTGCTTGGCATTGCGTGGCATAGCTTGGCATAAGTTGGCATCGCTTGACAATGCTTGTCAATGCTTGGCATTGCTTAACATTGCTTGGTATAACCTGGCATTGCTTGGCAAGAACCCCTGAGGCAAGCCGAATTGGGGAACAATAAGAGGCACCAATATCTAACAAATGAATAAGCCCTTAGGAAGCCAAATTGGGGAATAGGAGGCACCTGGGGCGGGGGACCCGAGGAAGCTGAGGAACCCGAGGAACACGAGGAACCTCGGAGCAACAGGCAAACAAAGATACATGATACCAGAGAAAAACCCAATCATAATCTTTTTAGGGCTGTAGGGCTATAGGGCTACAGGGCTATATGGGCTCTTGGGCGCTATATGGGCTATATGGCTATATGGCTATATGGGTTATAGTGCTATAAGGCTAAAGGGCTATAGGGCGATAGGGATATAGGGTTATAACGCTATAGGGCTACAGGGCACCGGGCACCCGGGCACCCGGCACCCGGCACCCGGGCACCCACCCGGGCACCGGGCACCCGTCACCCAGGCACCCGGGCACCCGGGCATCCGGGCACCCGGGCCCGGCCACCGAATCGGCGGCGAACCGGGGCACCCGGGCACCCGGGCATCAGGGCACCCGGGCCCGGCCACCGAATCGGCGGCGAACCCGGGCACCCGGGCACCCGGGCACCCGGGCACCCGGGCACCCGGGCCCGGCCACCGAATCGGCGGCACACCTCACCTACCCTTAAATCCGCTAGGACCCCTGCAGAGGCAAGCTCTGATTGGGGAAGTAGGAGGCACCAACTTTCAACCAAGTAAGAACCCCTTAGGCAAGCCTAATTGGGAAACAATGGAGAACCCCCTTCCAAGCAAACATGACCAAGGAACCCAGCGAAACTGGCGACGGCCACGCCTCGCACACACCCCACCCACCACATCCGCTCTTCCTCCTCCTCCTCCTCCACCTCCTCCTCCTCCTCCTCTCCCTCCTCCTCCTCCTCCTCCTCCTCCTCTTCATCATCCCCCTCCCTGCACGCGGCGTGGGGCGGGCGTGCGCGGCAGCGCGGGCGAATACGTACTGTACATTCCCACGTCGAGGTGGGCCCCTCGCACAACGACAAAAAACTAAAACGCAAAAGCTGCTCTCCAAGCAGGTTGCCCTGCGCGCGCCAGGCTTCTCGGACGCGGCGGCCTTGAGATCTGTCGGGCAGCTCACGGGAGGCGGGACGTCGAGGACGGGAAGGTAGGGGAGGGGAATGTGGAGAGGAGACCGGAGAAAACGTGGGGGAGGCAGAGGGGGAGGCGAAGGAAGACGGGGATGAAGGGAAGGAAGAGGTGCAGGAGGGGCAGTGAACAGAGAACGGGGAAGAGGCGGAGGTGAAAAAGCATCAAGGGGTCTCGCTGGATTTCGCCATGGCTCCTACTAGCATCCCAGGAACCGCTGGCGCAGCTCTTCAAGTAACAGTTGGTTGCCATCATCCTACTTGCGCTGATCCCCTTAACACCACATTAGCATCATCATCATTGCCATAGTCATCGTCGGTGTCGCCATGGTCATCACCATCATCAGTATCATCATCACCACCACCGTCAACAGCACATTGCCATCGCCATGACAGTTGCCCGCCGTCATACACAAACACACACACACACACACACACCCTCTCTCTCACACACACACACTCCCACTCGGCGTTGGTGCCTCAGCAGGCACAGCTGGAGCACGAGGAGGAGGAGGAGGAGGAGAAAGAGGAGGAAGACGAAGAAGAAGATGATGGAAGAGAAGAAAAGGGAGCAGCAGCGCAGCAGTAGGGGGCGGGGGGGGGGGAGAAAGAGGACGTGGACGAGGGGGAGGGGTAGGAGGACGACGACGAGACGGGGGGTGATACGTAGGATATCCCAAAGGGTTCCAGGAGGGGGTAGGAGGATGGCAGAATCAGTCTGCATAGAATGGGGGACTCGGCTCGATTCGGAATGTGCGTCGGATTGGGCTTCATCGGTAAGGAATCGAAAACGAGTCGGGCCGGCTCCGCCAGGATGCACAACAGCGTCATGCAAGCATCGGACCGCATCGGATCTTCGGACTGTCGGAGTCGAATCGGATCGGTTTCGAAATGGATGACCCGATTCGAAGCGGATCGATTGGATCGAGCTGGAACCGAGCGGTTCGGTCGGCCCGAGCTGCAAGCGTCGGAGCGAGGCGGCCAGAGTCGGTATCGAAGCGGAGGGATTGGATCGAAACGGACCCCACGAGGGGGCACGAGGAGGAGCGGCAGGAAGGGCAGAGAGCGGGAGGGGACGGACGGCGCGTCCCCAGGGGGCAGCCTGGAGGAGGGGGGGGACTGATTTGCAGCCGAGGCATCGGGCCCTGCTCGGGCGTTGCTGGAGAGGTGCCCCCAGGTCCTCCGCAGCCGTCGAATCGACGCTGTCCGATGCCTTGGGCCGTCGACTTCGTGTACTGCACGCGGTGGAATCGCGTTCGGCGGCGTGACAGCGAAGCACTTGTGACCAGTGGATGTTTCATAACGTGGCGCTCGATGGGGGAAGGCCCCCACGGCCACCAGAGAACCCCCCACGAGGCCCAGAGGGCCCCCGCGGGGGCTCCGAGCCGGAGCGAGAGGCCAGGGGCACCTCGGGCCAGGGGGACCTTTAGCAACCCCCGACCTGTGGGGCGCCCTCGCCAGGCCATCCCCATCGCCGGCGCCCCCTACTGCCGCGCGCTCAGCCGAAGAGTTTCCTCTCGAAGCTGTGGAGTCCATGCACTCCGCCCTCCCTCTGCGCGGCGGCGGAGCGGAGCTCGAACCGCAGCTGGCCCGAGTACAGCTGGCTGCGGAGTTCCTCCACGCTCCTGGCTCCGATGTCCTGCATCCCGTGCTGAAGCCCCTGGCGGAGGTAGGGCACGTAGGCCCGCACGGAGCCCTTGTCCTGGACCGCGCCCGACACGCCCTGCGCCACCTGGGCGGCGAGAGAGAAGCTGTCGGCGGCGCGCCCAGAGGGGGGGAGGCAGAGGGGGCGTGCCTTCCCAGAAACGCTCAGAAGGCCCCTGGCCTGCTGAGAAGCGTTCTGAGTCGTCTCCGAAGCCACGGAGGGCTTCCCAGAAGACCTGAGGGACTCTCAGAGGCCCCGCCGCCCTCTGAAAAGGCCTGCCCCCTCTCAGTCCCCCCCGCCGCCGAAACTGGTCTTACGCGAGAGGATATGGCGACCCTTCGCGGTGGTTTGCGCGCGTGCAGCCAGCGCGGTACACCGGCGTGGAGAGGGGAACGCTTGCGCGCGCTGCCGCCCGCGCATCTCTTGCGCGGGCGCCCGCCGAGTCGGCCCCGTTTGGTGCGTCGGTCACCTTGATGGTGGCCGCGCTGCCGAAGTAGCGGTCGTCCGAGCCCTTCTTCATGGCCTCCAGCGAGCCCATGCCGCGGTAGCGCTTGAGCCGCACGCCGTTGTCGGAGAAGAAATACTCCCCTGGGGACTCCTCGAGACGAGCGGGAATCTGACAAGACCACTAAGCCTCTGGCGGCCCATTGTGGGCCCATGTCTTGGTGTACGCATGGCCTCGTTGTCCAGGCCAGGAGCCAACAATCACCAAGATCCTGGCCCAGAACGGGGCTGTGGAGGCGCAGGGTGGTGCTGGTCAGCTCCCCCTCCCCTGGTCCTCTGTGCCGGCCAGCATGCTGCCGCACATGGCGGTGCCCGCCCCCATGCACAGGGCCTTCGCCGAGGTGCTTTCTGCTTACGGACAACGCTGCGGCGCCAGCGCCAGCGGCGGCGGCGGCGGCGGCGATGACGGCGATGACGGCGACGGCTGCGGCGGGCCTCTGGGGCCACCCCCCCAGAGGCCCACCGCGGGAACTCGCAAAGGGGAAGGGGGGTCCCCCATTAGCTACCCCCCCCGGCCCCCCCCTGCTGAAGCTAGCCCCCCCCTCCCCCCTTTTGCCGCTCTGGAAGCTACCCCCCCCTTCCCCCCTTTCCAGAACCCCCCTTCTTTTTCGTCCACCCCCGGAAGCTACCCCCCCCCTCCCCCCCTCTTGCCGCTCCAGAAGCTACCCCCCCACGATCCTCCCCCGTCGCCGTCGTCGTTGCCTTCGCCGTCGCTCGACGCTCGACGTCTTCGTAAGACGCCGTCGTCGTCCTCGTCGTCGTTGTCGCCGCCGTCGCCGTCATTGTCGCCGTCTTCGCATGACCTCGTCGTGGTCGTCACGACGAGGACGAGGTCATGCGAAGACGGCGACGGACGACGGACGACGGACGACGCGCGACCGACGACCGACGACGACGACGACGACCCAGGGTCAGAGAAAACGAGACCACGACCCAGGGGCTGAGAACACGAGGAAACGAAGCAGGGTCCGAGAAAACGAGACCACGGCCCAGGGGCCGAGAAAACGAGAAAACGAACCAGGGTCCAAAAAAACGACCCAGGGTCCGAGAAAACGAAACAAAAACCCAGGGGCCGAGGCAACGAGGAAACGAGAAAACGAACCGGGGCCCGAGAGACCGAGACCACGACCCAGGGGCCGAGGCAACGAGAAAACGAGAAAACGAACCGGGGCCCGAGAAAACGAGACCACGACCCAGGGGCCGAGAAAATGAGAAAACGAGAACCAAGGTCAGAGAAAACAAAACCATAATCCAGGGGCCGAGAAACGGAGAACACGAGAAACCGAACCAGAGTCCGAGAAAACGGGACCACGATCCAGGCACCGAGAAAACAAAAAAGGAACCAGGGTCAGAGAAAACGAAACCACGACCCAGGGGCCGAGAACACGAGGATACGAGAAAACTAACAAGGGTCCGAAGAAAAATGACACCACAACCCAGACCGCCGAGAACACAAGAAAACGAGATCACGAAACAGGGCCCGAAAAAACAACACAAAAAAAGAAAGCCGAGAAAACGAGAAAACAAAACAACGAACCAGGGTCCGAGAAAACGAGACCACGACCCAGGGGCCGAGAACACAAGAAAACAAGAAAGCGAACCAGGGTCCGAGCAAACGAGACCACGACACAAGGGCACAGAGAGCGCGAAAACGAACCAGGGTCCGAGAAAACATGACCACGACCCAGGGGCCGAGAAAACAAGAAAACGATAAAAGGAATCAGGGCCCGAGAAAACGAGACTATGAACCAGGGGCCGAGAAAACAAGAAAACGAGAAAACGAACCAGGCCCCGAGAAACCGAGACCACAACCCAGGAGCCGAGGAAATGAGAACACGCGAAAACGACCCACGACCCAGGGGCCGAGAAAACGAGAAAACAAACCAGGGTCCGAGGAAACCACGGCCCAGGGGCCGAGATCACCAGAAAACGCTTGGTTCGAGAAAACGAGACCGCGACCCAGGAGCCGAGAAAACGAAGACACGAGAAAACGAAGCAGTTTCAGAGAAAACGAGACCACCACCCGGGGGCCGAGACAACGAGAAAACGAGAAAACAAAACCATGACCCAGGGGCCGAGAAAACGAGAAAACGAAACAGGGTCCGAGAAAACTGGACCACGACCCAGGGGCCGAGAAAACGAGAAAACGAAAACGCAAACCAAATTCTGAGAAAACGAGACCGCGACCCAGGAGCCGAAAACGCGAGAAAACACGAAAACGAACCAGGGGCCGAGAAAATGAGAAAACGACAAAAGGAATCAGAGCCCGAGAAAACGAGACTCCGAACCAGGGACCGGACCGAGAAAACAAGAAAACAAGAAAACTAACCAGGGGCCGACGTTATTCTCCAATTCGTTCTCTTTTAGAGCTGCAGTGCGCACCTGTCGTCAAGGATTCCGCCATTTTGCCAGAGCCCGAGAAGGGAGGGGGGGGAGGTAGCTTCGGAAGCCCCCCCCCTTTGCACAGGAGGGGGGGGGTAGCTTGAAGCCGCCCCCCCCTGTGTCCAGACCAAAAAAGGAAGGAGGGGGGGGGCTTCCGAAGCACCCCCCCTTTGAAAGGGAAGCTCGGGCTCACCTTCTGCTCCGGAAAAGGGAGGGAGGGGGGGATAGCTTCGAAGCCCCCCCCTCCCTTTAGCTAGTGTCCCCCTAGCTTAGAAAACCTTACAGAAGGGAGGGGGGGTAGCTTCGGAAGCCCCCCCCCCCTTTCGACGGAAGAGGGGGGGGTAGCTTGAAGCTGGGTCCCCCTTTTAGCATTGAGTTCCGTACGGGCGCGCTCTTACCCAACTATATACCTACTAGAACCACGCGCGCGCTTCGCGCGCGCTTAGGTTCTAGCTAGGAGGCGAGCTTGAGTCAACGAAAGTCGCAGGGAAGGGGGCAGGGGGAAGAAGGCCAGAGAGCGCTGACGGATACAAATACTGGAACCCTCTTGTGATTTTGTGGGGGGCCTCGTCCGGCCGCTCGCTGGGAGTTTGACGTAGCTTCTCGGGAGCCTCTGAACCTGTCGGGGGCCTCCTGGAAGCAGGTTCGAAGCATTTTGGGGGCCGTTTTGGAGCTTCTCGGGGCCTCCTTTGGGCCTCTTGGGGGTCTCCTGGGGCCTCTTGAGGGGCCTCCTTGGGGCCTCCTGGCGGCCTCTTGGGGCGGAAGGCTCGAGCTTGCGGTTCGTGGTCCCCCTCTGGGCCCCCTCTTGGGCCCGTCTTGGGGCCCTCTTGGGCCATCTTGGGCGCCTCTTGGGCCGTCTTGGGGCCCTCTTGGGCTGTCCTGGGGCCCTCTTGGAAGCTTCTTGGGCCGTCTTGGGGCGGTCTTGGGCGCCTCTTGGGCCGTCCTGTAACGTCGGAAAGCCCAAAAGGCGACTTTGTGAAAATGTACGTTTTACGAAGGGAATGGGCCAATTTTTGCGTCTAGGGGCCCTCTTGGGACGCATGTTGGAGGCTTCTTGGGGCGTCTTGGGGGCGTCCTTGGACGTCTGGGGTCTCCTGGGGCCTCTTGAGGGGCCTCCTGGGGGCCTCCTGGCGGCCTCTTGGGGCGGAAGGCTCGAGCTTGCGGTTCGTGGTCCCCCTCTGGGCCCCCTCTTGGGCCCGTCTTGGGGCCCTCTTGGGCCATCTTGGGCGCCTCTTGGGCCGTCTTGGGGCCCTCTTGGGCTGTCCTGGGGCCCTCTTGGAAGCTTCTTGGGCCGTCTTGGGGCGGTCTTGGGCGCCTCTTGGGCCGTCCTGTAACGTCGGAAAGCCCAAAAGGCGACTTTGTGAAAAATGTAGGTTTTACGAAGGGAATGGGTCAATTGTTGCGCCTAGGGGCCCTCTTGGGACGCATGTTGGAGGCTTCTTGGGGCGTCTTGGGGGCGTCCTTGGACGTCTGGGGTCTCCTGGGGCCTCTTGAGGGGCCTCCTGGGGGCCTCCTGGCGGCCTCTTGGGGCGGAAGGCTCGAGCTTGCGGTTCGTGGTCCCCCTCTGGGCCCCCTCTTGGGCCCGTCTTGGGGCCCTCTTGGGCCATCTTGGGCGCCTCTTGGGCCGTCTTGGGGCCCTCTTGGGCTGTCCTGGGGCCCTCTTGGAAGCTTCTTGGGCCGTCTTGGGGCGGTCTTGGGCGCCTCTTGGGCCGTCCTGTAACGTCGGAAAGCCCAAAAGACAACTTTGTTGAAAATGTACGTTTTACGAAGGGAATGGGCCAATTTTTGCGTCTAGGGGCCCTCTTGGGACGCATGTTGGAGGCTTCTTGGGGCCTCTTGGGGGCGTCCTTGGACGTCTGGAGGCCATCTTCAGCATCTCGGAGCCCTCTTGGAGGCCTCTTGGAAGTTTCTTGGGCCGTCTTGGGCGCTCCTGGGGCCGTCTTGTCTGACCGGGGAGGCCTCCGGCAAGCCCCGACGAGCCTCCGGGCCCCCCGGAGCCCACATTTGTGGTCGGGGTCCCGGCCCCGGGCCCCCGGACCCGGTGCGCCGTTATATGTATATACCGATCCTGGCCAGGCGCATCCTGGGCCGTGGATCGGTGTATACGACCTCCCAGCTTGCTTGGGCAAAAAGGCGCATGCACCCAGCCTGGGCCCAGGATCGGCCTAGCCAAGATCAGCATACGTGTCTAGTTGGTGCCCTCCGACAGGACAAGAACAGTCAGGCAGCGCAGGTCCGCAGAGCCTTCACGATGTGCCCTGGGCTGCCGATGCCACCGTCCGCGATGACGGGAACGCCGTACCGCCGCGCGAGCTGCGCCACGTTGTACACGGCGGAGGCCTGCGCCCGCCCGCACGCGCACACCTCCTGCGTGGTGCAGATCGAGCCGATGCCCATGCCTCGGCCCCGCGCGCGGGGCGGGGAGGGTAGGCTCAGCTTTCCCGGCTACTCATCGAAGCCGCCTATCCTCCCGGTGGAAAATGCCTCTCATATGCCTGTCTAGATGCCCATCCCCACTGCGGAAAGACGCCTGCCAAATACCTACTGATAGTGGAAGATGTAAGCCCATGCTGCGGCCAGGACAATCGGGGGATCAGAGCCGGAGTTTCTGTCCGCTCGTGTTATCATGAGAGATCGAGGTTTCTGGGTCGAGGCTCGAGGTCTTTCAAGGATCAGGGGGCCTCTTGGGGCCTCGGGATGCCTCTGGATGCCTGGTGGACCTCGGGGTCGCGAGGGCCCTTGAACGTAACCAAAAGAGTAACCGAAATACATGAGTTCGTCATCATCCGCCTCCCTCCTCCTCCTCCTCCTCCTCCTCCTCCTCCTCCTCCTCCTCGCGGACGCGTCTGCCGCGCGCCGGGAGCCCTTTGAATGGGAGCCGGCAGACACCTGCGCCGTCCCACAGAGAGCGGCTCCCCCAGGGGTTACCGGCCGTCCAAGGCAGCGGCCACCCACTCCCAGGGCGGCGGGCGGGGTCTGCCGGACGGGGCCTATAGAATCCGTCACACGAGAAGGACCAGGGCGACCACGTGGCCCCCGAGGCCAGGCCACCGCCGCCCAATCCTCATCC